AACAAAGGGAATCCAAGAAACAGGCAGAGGTCGGGGCAGGCAGCAATAATCAGAGTCCAAGAACAATACAAAATCAAAAAACAGAAAACAAAAGCAAAAAAAACACTCAGAAATGCAGACACACAGTACAACAAGACTTCGCAAAAAGTGAATGTGAACACAAGGTATATACAGACTAACAGGATGAGACACAGGTGAATGCAATCAGTGAATGAGGTACAGGTGAATGTGATCAGTGATGATGAGTTCGGGCAGTGAGTTCTGGGAACTGTAGTTTGTGAGTGATAATAGTCTTATCTGGAGTGCCCTCTGCTGGCTCAAAAGGGCATTCCAGCTAGTGACCGTTACATAGCCCCCCCTTTAAGGAGCGGATTCCAGACGCTCCTCAAAAATGTCCAGGAGGGAGATGGAGCAGAGGCGGACCTGGGGACGGGTTGGAGGGCCAGGCCCGTGGAGCGGAAGAGGACCTGGAGACTGCAGTGGACCAGGCTGTGGAGGAAACCAGGGCGGAGCAGGCTGTGCAGGCGAACAGGGCGGGGCAGGCTGTGCAGGCAACCAGGGCGGAGCGGACGGAGCAGGTTGTGCGGGCGGCCACGGCGGTGGAGACCCCTCGGGCAGCCACGGACAGGTTCCTGGACAGGACCCCAGCGCCTTATCCATTTCAATTGCCTCGAGTTGCTGGCAGTACGCCTTGCCCTGCACCGCTTCTGAGCGCTGCTCAGGGGTCAACACGTACTAGTCCGTTCAGACAATACCGCAACAGTAGCGTACATCAACCGTCGGTCTACGCTCACGTCGGATGTCGCAATTCGCATGCCACCTCCTCTTATGGAGTCAGAAGCACCTGAGGTCCCTTCATGCTATTACATTCCAGGAGAGCGGAACCTGGCAGCTGACGAGCTGTCGCGGTTCCGTCCAGTCTTTGGCGAATGGCAACTCCATCCCCAGTCGGTTCAGCTGATATGGGACCAGTTCGGGGACACACAGAGAGTCACACTTCCCACGACTCATCCAATTGCGCCCTGTTTTACTCTCTGACCGAGGGCACGCTCGGCACAGACACCTCAGCGCACACAGCTGGCCACGGGGCCTACGCAAGTATGTGTTTCCCCCAGTGAGCCTTATCGCACTCTGTGCAAGATCAAGGAGGACGAGGAGAAGGTCTTGCTGGTAGCCTCATATTGGCCCACCAAGACCTGGTTCTCCGAACTGGTACTCCTCGCGACAGCACCTCCTTGGCCTATTCCTCTGAGGAAGGCCCTCCTCTCTCAGAGACAGGGCACCCTGTGGCACCCTCGTCCCGATCTGTGGAGGCTACACGTGTGGCTCCTGGATGGGACGAGGCAGGTTTGAGTACCCTGCCACCTGCGGTGGCGGCTACCATCACTTCCACTAGAGCGTCATCCACTAGACACGTCTATGCGTTGAAGTGGAACCTCTTCGTCAACTGGTGCTCTTCTCGCCGAGAAGACCCCCGGAGATGCTCGATCAGTGTCGTGCTTTCCTTCCTGCAAGAAGGGTTGGAGCGAAGGCTGTCTCCCTCCACCCTGAAAGTTTATGTGGCAGCAATTGCCGCATTTCATGAAGCAGTTGAAGGTAAGTCATTGGGGAAGCACTATCTGATCATCAGGTTCCTGAGGGGAGCGAGGAGACTGAATTCTCCTTGCCCACCTCTCGTACCCTCTTAGGACCTCTCAGTGGTTTTAAGTGTCCTGCAGAGGCCTCCCTTCGAGCCTCTGCAATCAGTTGAGATTAAGTTCCTGTCAATGAAGACAGCGCTCCTGGTTGCACTGGCCTCCATCTAGAGGGTAGGGGACCTGCACGCATTCTCTGTTGACGAAGCGTGCCTGGAATTTGGGCCGGCTTACTCTCACGTGATCCTGAGACCCCGGCCTGGATATGTGCCCAAGGTTCCCACCACTCCCTTCCGGGACCAGGTGGTGAACCTGCAAGCGCTGCCCCTGGAGGAGGCAGACCCAGGCTTGGCACTGCTCTGTCCAGTACGTGCCCTCCGGGCTTACGTAGACAGAACGCGCTGTTTCAGGACATCAGACCAGCTCTTTGTCTGTTATGGTGAGAGCCAGAAGGGAAGGGCTCTCTCAAAGCAACGGCTGTCTCACTGGATAGTGGACACCATCGCTTTGGCTTACCAGCATCAAGGTCGACCGTGCCCCCTTGGTGTGACGGCCCACTCCACCCGGAGTGTGGCTTCCTCTTGGGCTCTAGCGCATGGCGCCTCGCTAGCAGACATCTGCAGAGCTGCAGGCAGGGCGACACCTAACACATTCGCAAGATTCCATAACCTCCGAGTGGAGCCTGTGTCCTCTCTTGTACTCGCTCAAGTGCGACAGGGGTTCAGACTTGCGCAGGGCATTGGAAGACAGCTGTGAAGGTGGCGTGATTACAAGGGGGACTCCCATTCTCCGTCATCCGACGTAACTCGGAGTGACTACGAAAGGGAACGTCTCGGTTACGTATGTAACCCTCGTTCCCTGAGTAGGGAACGGAGACGTTACGTCTCCCTGCGACTTCCGCTGTACCGCTGGGTAGACACCTGAGTTCAGTCTCGGCTCCTCAGCGAAGACATACTGCAGTTGCGTCCACTTCCTCCTTTTATACTCACGGGGTGAGGTGGAGATACGCTATGCAAATTCCGCATAAACATGGCATTTCTTTGCCATTGGCTCGTTTTTTAATACTCGAAGAGGATTGGCTTTCTAGGCGAAACCCCCTTTCTCCGTCATCCGTCGTAACGTCTCCGTTCCCTACTCAGGGAACGAGTGTTACATACGTAACCGAGACGTTTTTACAAGTGGACAAAATGGTTATTTTTCTTAAAGGAGTAGTTAACTTTTAAAGAAACTTTTGCTATAATTTACTCACCCCCATGTCATCCAAGATGTCCACGTTTTTCTTTCTTCAGTCGAAAAGAAATTAAGGTTTTTGCTGAAAACTTTGCAGGATTTTCTCCATATAATGGACTTCAATGGGAACCAAACGGTTCAAGGTCCAAATGAGAGTTTCGGTGCAGATTTTAAGGGCTTTAAACGACACCAGACGATGAATGAGCGTCTTATCTAGCGAAAAGATCGGTCATTTAAAAAATAAATAAAAAAGTTTGTGACTCTCCTGTTCAAACTCGTTCATCAAAATGAACAAATCTTTTTTCGAGTCATGACTCGAAGGTTCCTAGATAAGACCCTTATTCATCATCTGGTGTCGTTTAAAGCCCTTTGAAGCTGCACTGAAACTCTCATTTGGACCTTGAACCGTTTGGTTCCCAAAGAAGTCCATTATATGGAGAAAATCCTGGAATGTTTTCATCAAAAACCTTAATTTCTTTTCGACTGAAGAAAGAAAGAAGTTGACATCTTGGATGACATGGGGGTGAGTAAATTATCAGTAAAATATTTTTTTTTTAAAGTGAACTTATCCTTTAAGTTGATGAAGGTGTACAAAATAGTGCAGAGAAATGTTCCAAAATATTTGTATGAATATGTTTTCGTAAGAGATTGTTTTTTTCTAGGACAAGTATAACTTGCCAATGGATAACTTAACAAGGATAACTTGGAAGTCAATGAGACCAGAAACTGTATCGTCACTGATATTCTTCTAAATATCAGAGAATCGGCTGAATGGGTTCAAAAATGGTAAAAGTCGACTGTTTAACTGTGAGGGAGTTGTAAAATGAGCCTTTTTCCAAAAAAAGTGAAGTATCCCTTTAAAGGGACACTATGCAGTTATTTTAGCTTAATTTAACAGCTTCAGAGTTATTGAAATGGTTATATGACTTCTTTCGGGTTGAATGGGGGTTTCAGGCGAGCCGCCAGCCTCAGCATCAGGAAGTATCGCGTGATATCAGCTTTCGCGATGTAACATATTCCTTTGCGGCAACACTGCACATATCCAGGAACAAGGTCGAGAAGGATAGAGTTTGTCACACTATCGTCATGGCGAAGCCGGCATATAAGATAGGAAAGCTAGGAAAGCATTGTCGGAGGAACAGAGAAAGAGGAAACAGCAGACTGACCGAGCGAGGAGTCAGACGCGAGCATAGGCGTAATTTGCGTGTGATATGTCCTCATTGAAACATCTCGCAGCACGGATGTACCAATACAAACAAATAAAACATCTCCAGGTAACTCTAGTAGATTCATTTATTTCGTTTTTTAAATAAGAAGCGATCTGAAATGTGTTGTTTTTGAAATCAAGTGACCAAAGTGCTCATTACCGCTGCGATCAGTTTCAGTGGATTCAGTGTTCTGTTGTGATATTCAAACGGACGCGCGCTCATTGCTCAATCCGTTGTGGGGACTGAGAGACTCATTATGGTGAAATCACAAAACTCAATGCATAAAAAACATGTCCCTGCTTGAAATACAGCCACTAATAAACAATCGGTGTTGATGAGGAAAATAAACTATACTATTAGTTAGGATTGGAACCCAGAACCTGTGACACACATGGCAAAAGTTCTTCCTCTGGACCATTAAAGTTCATGGGGATATGTATTTATTCACGTGAAAATTCTCACCACTAACAACATATATTAAATCTCATTAAACGACAAATTAAACACAATGTACTATTGTATACTATGTAACACGTCATGCCCTCAGTGAGTGATATTTATGACAGTAACGTTAAAAACAAGTACTCCACAGTTACTCTAGGGGTCGCTGTTTGACAAAAACAGCATTCTTGCCTGGTGTCCCTTTAACAGAGTTTATTTAGGAAGAATTATTTTTTGTATTCTAGCGCAGTTGTTTGGAATGAATTGCCTGATTGCTTAAAACAAATTCAAGAAGAAAGATAAGAAATGGCTTTTTTGTTTCTAGAAGTTATGTGATAAGTTGATGTGTTTTTTTGTTTGTTTGTTTGTTTTATTTCCCATTATGAACTGAAATAAGCTTCTGTTTTTGTGTGTGTGTGTGTGTGTGTGTGTATATTATCCTCGACAGTTTTTTAAAAATGTGTATTAATTGGTCTTTTGGGCTTGATTGTGCTTGATTGAACTTTTATTGACAAATAAATCAGACATAAAAAAATCCTCCAACGCAGATGTATATAATGAGTAAACCGAAGCTTGATGCCGGTGCACAGCGCTGGGTCGCGAAGCTCGCACCTTATAACTTTGAGATAGGTAGGAATACCGTTTTCCCTCAGCCCGCTCATACACATACAGCCAGAAAATTCCATGATGGCAAATCGTCGCCCTCAGCACCTCTGAACCAAAACCATCCAGATAACGTTTTTTTTTTTTTTTTTTTTTTTTTTTTTATGTATCATAAATCCTTTCTTAAAAATAATTCCGGATGAAACAAATAAAACCTATTTACAATACAAAGAGGAATATAAAAGAAATAGATGAACACTGAGTAAGACTGGAAAACTGAAACTGTTTGATGGAATAAACTGTTTGTTGAACTCTTTTATGTTCACTCTTACAAAATGTAAATATAGCATTACAATAATAATAATAATAAAAGAAAAAAATAAATCCAGCCACTTAAGACTAACAACAATGAAAAACCCAGGAGAACAAAAAAGCCCTTTAAGAAGAGGGAACAAAAATATGTGGAGAGATGTAATAATTAGTTTGTGTGTGTGTGTGTGGGGGGGGGGGGGGTCATGCAGGTTTGTGTTTAAGCTTATTTTCGTCACAGAATAAAAATATTTAAAAATATATATATATATTGTGACTTGTTCACAATTCTGAAGTTTACATCATAACATATTTCATAATTTCCCAGAATTCTGCATGTGCATACGGACAGGTAAAAATATTGCATGTTGAATGAGCTCAGGATTTAGAGGAAAAAAAATTAGACCTGCAAGATGTAAACTCAGAATTCTGAAAGGATTGTCAGAATATCTTGATAAAAATTCACATTTACCTAGAAATAAGCTTCAATATGATTTGAACAATGTGAAGGACAAAGGAGAATTGTCATTTTCGGCTGGACTAATGCTTTAAAATACTCAAGAGATTCTGCAATGCAAAGTCATCCTAGTAAAGTGCACAAAACAATACCTAAAGTCAGCGTCCCAATAATAGCATCATGTGCAGGACAACCCCAGACAAAAACTCGCTTACACAAATCAGCATGGCTTAGACTAGTGGGGTTGGGAAAGTGTGGCTTTACATTTGCTGAGGAAAAAAAGATGAATTTCAGATGAAAGCCGATCAAACAGGCAGGTATAAGCTGAGGTAAAGTTAGCAGTTTTCAATTCAAGCACTCAACATGCTTCCTTATGCATATTATATCCCTTATATATCATGGGCACAAATGCATACTGTATCAGTATCACTTAGTTCCCTGAGGCCAGTCTTAGCGCGGTAGACGTCATGTTCACAGCTTATCCATGATCACCCTGCTCCTGTGCAGATTTCATGGTGCTCAAAATCAAGGCTTGCCTTGACCTAGAGCACTCTCTTCCAAAAAAATAAAACTAACAGCACAAAAAAAATCCCTGGTACCCCTTTGCAGCTAAGCTGAAACCATAGAAATGTAGAAATATAGAAATGTGAAACAATCATTAAACGGGATAAAGCTGAAGGCTTGAAGCTCTCTCAAGTCTCAACTTATCATCTATTTTCACAGTCGGACATTCCTGCGCTCCACTGGCTGTTGACAAATCCCTCCCAGAGTGCTGAACTTTGGCCCAAGGTCCTGAAGGAAGTCCATGTTATCACCAAGGTTGCTAACAGTCAGCTGATCCAGTGACTGGCAATCACTGCCCTTCCCCTCATATTCATATGGATATGGGGAATATGCAGGATAGTTCTCCTGTGCTTCCGCAAGTCTGCTGATTTTCTATAAAATAAAATAATGGAATCAGAAAAAAAACAATTTAAAAACTTTTGATAGCTGATAGAATGTGATTTCACAAGGTGACCAAATGGTGTGCAGATCTTCGTACATCAATATTACATTGTGCAATGAAGGATCTAGCCGACAGGTGGCGACAGTGCACTTGATTTTCAACTCGGAACAAGTTAAATCAAGCTCTCTTCTCCACCAGTAGTGTGCCAAAGGCAAGTCGTGCAGTGCAATGATAGTTCAAATGTTCTTGTTTCCACAACAACTGACATACAAGCACATTAAATTAACCTGTATGTTGATTTACATTTACCCACATTTAAGCATTCTTTAACCCTTGTGCTGCATTAGGGACATTTTTGGTCATTTGCAGTTTAATTTCTTTTACCATTTTGGCTGTTTCAATGCAAATGTAATTTGTAACAAAATTTGGACTTGTTGGATAAATAGAAAAAAAAAATAGATTCCATTTTGCGAAATATTTAACTTTTATAACACACTGTGTAGATCAAATAGTAACACTCAGCACTGTAATGACCAAAAATGGCCCATTGAAACCCATTAAAACGTTGTTTAAAGCCGGGTCTGTCATTAATACATGAATCATGATTTATGTTCAATTTTCTGGTTATTTTACTGTTATTTTCCTGGTTTCCACTTGGGGAATTACTGACTTTTTTATGAAGCATTTTACCCTTTCTGTCTACTCTCTCTCTCTCTCTCTCTCTCTCTCTCTCTCTCTCTCTCTCTGTGTGTGTGTGTAGGCGTGTGTATTTAGCAAGAGAAAGCGCTTCTCACTGCATTGTTTTCTTTCAGTCTGATTCATGCGTATTTTACGCACAGACATGAACCTTTGACACAGCTTCGAGGTTTTTTTTAGCACTCTATGTTTCAAAGTTAAAGGGATACTCCACTTTTTTTGGAAATATGCTCATTTTACAACTCCCCCAGAGTTAAACTGTTGAGTTTTACCTTTTTTGAATCCATTCAGCCGATCTCCGGTTCTGGCGGTACCACTTTTAGCATAGCTTAGCAAACATCATTGAAGTGCACAAGACCATTAGCATTTCTCCCAAAAAAATTACCAAAGTGTTTCGTGTAGAGAATCAAGGCGAATCAAACACAACTTAATCAAATTAATCTCTCATGGGATTAATTCACATGGCTTCAACACTCCAAGTTCTGGAGCCCACATTCCAGAGTCACAGAACGACTCCGTGCTGTCTGCAGATAAGGACTTTTATTGCCCCACAGGCCCAAGAGAGGGGCACTAAACAGGACGAACGTGTCAATATGTTAATGTTTTACTGGGACAGGTCAGCTCCAAAATGGTGGAACAGAGGCTCACAACAAAGACCTCTTTGATCCCCTGACAGAGATGTTACACAGAACACCTTCCTCTACCCCTACTCCTTGAACCTACCACGACCTCACTGTTGAGATCGGAGATCTCACACATAAAATCATATAAACTCACCACAGAACAATTCTTAGACCTATAACCAATCATAATTGTTGTTGTTCCTACACTTCATGTGTTATTATGCTTAGATCACATAATAATCATGTAATTGTTGTTAACTAGTAACTCTTGTAATTGTTATACAACCATTAGAAGTGTGAATGCCTCGTTTACTCTTAAACGAACCGTATCCTCGTAATTCAAAAGATGGTTTGACTGAAATCTGTCTAAAATGCTTTGTTTTATGATTATAATATATAATCTTAAACTGTGTTCTCTTGTTCTCTGCTAAGTGCTGGAGACCAGCTCACAGACCATGCATAAATTATGATAAGCAAGAAATAGATCTGCCTCCAATTGGCCAGAAGTTCCTAGGAGGCTGGACTAGAGTTTAAGTTAAAGATCCTAACAAAGGACCTCATGTGCGGATTTTGCTAGATGATTTTAGATTTTCGTTCAGTTCTGTAACTGTTAAGTCCGTGCCTCTCTCTAAAACCAGCAAGAGAGTGTTCTGTTCGTGCTTATCTCTGAAACAAAGAACATGTCCACATGCTTCTACATCGACTAGACCAAATTCGACCAGCAGACGAGTAACCCATCAAGATCAGGGTTACAATTCAGCTCAGTCAAGCCATCCGACTCGCCTTGCTTTCATTTCTTTCCTTTATTTCCTTTTTCGTAAAACTCTTGTTTCAAAGTTAAGTTTGCAACGCGCTTCGAATTGGAAAAGACTCTCATTCGCTTGCTAATCACACGTGACCAGCGGCGGAACTTCCATCCCTGCACTTCAAAGACAACCCGCCACGAGGACCCGGGAAACCCCCCTTCAACGCGACGCAGACAAAGGGAATTCCCTCAGCCACTACAAAGCGCAAGTACTCCAGGCTCTAACTGAACTGGTGCTTTAATGTTAATTGAATAACCTCTCTAAGAAATGAAGGTTCAAATTAATGCTTGGTGGTCCTTTCAGGTGATGTCTTACGTGCATATAGAAAGTTGAAACTTTCTCTCACTCTTTCCAACTCACTCTTTCCCTTTCGCGACTGTATGAATGTGTGTGTGCGTGTGCGTGATTATGTTTAGTTATGTTTAGACCTTAGAGTTGTGTTTAGAATAGCTAATAAAGGCTTCCATATATTTGAAAAGATATATCTTCTTGTGTCGTGTTTGCACATTTAATGTCTTGTACTGTTCGATTTAAAGTTACCTTGCTAAGACATAGTGTTTCACTATAGATTTGGTTATAATTACGGCCCGTTCAAATGAATTCTAAGCGAGTCATTTGCTCGGTTCAGTGATTCGGTTCCATAGATTCATTGCAAATCAATGAATCATTTCCCTTTGAGCTAAATTGGCCTTCGGCCCCCTTAAATACATTTTATGTATATTATTAAATGTTGCATTTGCTACATTCGATATTTTTCCGTTTTAAAACTTGACTCTTCTATAATTACATCGTGCACTAAGACAGACGGAAAATGTAAAGTTGCGATTTTCTAGGCTGACTAGGAACTATAATCTCATTCCTGCATAATAATCAGGAAACTTCACTGTAGCACCATGAGTGCAGGAGGCGTAATGTTATGACGCAGCGCCTGAAAATAGTGCCCAGCTTCCTACGTGACCGGGACTAAGTTTGTGTAGTCATTGCGTCTGCTGCACTCATGGTACGACAGTGAAGTTTCCTGATTATTACGCAGGAATGAGAGTATAGTTCCCTGCATATCAGCCTAGAAAATCGCAACTTTACAATTTTCAAGTTTCAAATAGGAAAAATGTTGAAACACTTGTGTATCAGTGATCTTGTGTACTTCAATGTATGCTAAGCTATGCTAAAAGTGGTACCGCCAGAACCGTAGATCGGCTGAATGGATTCAAAAAAGGTAAAACTCAACAGTTGTAAAATGAGCGTATTTCCAAAAAAAGTGGAGTATCCCTTTAACTGATAATTTCTCACATACGTAGAGGCACAAATACTAACACAGTCTCATCCCAAAAAGTCATATAACTGACGTCTTGGGACGTCTTTTGACCATACGTCAATATCTGCCTTTTTAGGGCCCTCTTAAACGTCGGTAGATGGCGATCCCGGGCCGTCATACAACTGACGCTTTACCTTTAACGTCAGTTAGGTGACGGGTTAGGTTTAGGGTTAGGTTTAGGTCTGGGGTAGAGTTAGGATCCCATAACCTCATCTACTGACGTTTAACCCCTTAACGTCTGAATTTATATAGCTGTATATAAAAAAATGTTTTACGTGTGTTTTTGCCTTTAAGTAGATGGTAAATAATGTTGAGATTATCAATTTCACTTTTGCACAACAAATAAATAGAAATTTTGGTATGTTGCAAATCTGCAACAACGGGCATAATGGTCAATTTGGTATGTTGAAAATCTGCAACAGCGGGCATAATGGTCAATTTGGTATGTTGCAAAATCTGTAACAGCGGGCATAATGGTCAATTTGGGTCAATTTGGTATGTTGCAAATCTGCAACAACGGGCATAATGGTCAATTTGGTATGTTGCAAATGTTGCAAATGTTCCTGACGGAGAAATCCTCGTGCCTAAACAGGAAATAAGTTGGGGGAATGCAGACGTTATCTCGGCTGGTTGACTGAGTCAAATCGTTTGTTGCATATTTGCGACAGTGGGCGTTAAGGGGTTAAGGGGGCCCTAAAAAGGCGAATATTGACGTATGGTCAAAAGACGTCCCAAAACGTCAGTTATATGACGTCTTGGGATGAGACCGGGTTGCAAATACAGCCATGCATTCAGTCCTTAGAAAATGATAACACCTTTCATCTTGCAGCAACACAAAGGTAGTTGCGAAGGATCCAAAACAAAGTCTGCCATTCATACAAGTGTAGTTGATGCAAAAGTTATAAAGCTATGCACATCTTTGGTGTGGCAATTTCAAACTCGACAAGATGAAGAAAAGCTATGGATCTGCAGACACCCATGACAAGAAGAGAAGGGGGTGCAGCTTCTGCCCTAACAATAAAAGAAAAATCTCCATCACCTGCTCAAAATGTGGCATTTACATCTGTAAGGAGCATGCAATGCAATTCTGCAGCTCCTACAAATGAGCTGAAGACTGACCATATTTTGTTTTGAAGTTTTGATGTTTTATATGTTTTTTATAAAACGGTTAGTTATTTAATTTTAATTAACCAAACTTTGTCTGTTTTTGTTTTTATATCAGTATAAATTATAGGCTACCTGAAAATTAAATTATTTCTTCCTCTCTTATATTTTCTACAGGTTTCCTGAAAATCATGCCAGTTTAGTGTTTTGTGTAGTGGACTCACCCTCTCGATTTGTCCTCCCAGCTTTCTTTGTGTTTGAGTGTTTGATCGGAACATCTGGCTGCCTCCACTCTTAAAAACAAGTGTGATATTTCATTTAGACTTTAGTTGAAACAGGTACTATCTTTTTTGTTTTTAAATGTTAATTTAATTGTATTTGTTATTTCTGTATTTCACAAGTTTAGCCATTACTACAATATAAATGTTATTATGACTATGTAACATTAAGAAGTTTCAAAACCTGTAAAAAAGTGTTAAAAAAATCTTTTCTTAAAAATCCAACTTTTTTGTAATAAATAAGAATTATTTGAAAAGCTTACCATATACTTTCTGCTTTCCCCTCGGACCATTGACTAAGAGAGGAGGAAAAAAAATATTATTTAATATCCATTATAATGAAATATGACTCCTATTTACTTTATATACATTGCTGTTTAAAAGATTGGGGTCAGTAAGATTTTTTTTAATCAATATCTAGTTCAGTCATGAAACTCTAGAGGGCACAGAATGATCTGCGGTCCTTTACATGCAGTCTACAAGCAATCACATCAATACATGCCACAAGCTGATCCTGCAGCCAATGAATTTGCTTGCTCAACATTTAAATTTCATTGTTTGCTGTAGGCTAGTCCTGCTATTAGAGTTCCTCTGAACCCCATCGTCCTCCCCAGCTCCATCTGCCTAGATCTGCTTCTGCATTTATGGATGTATATTTACGCAAATACATTAACATTGCCTTATTAATAAGCTTATTTCACGCAGTGGTTATTCTGAAATCGAAAGCAATGCTCCGGTGGGAAGAAAACCGATAGTGTCGCCTTTAATCATAGGAGAATCGCAAATGCAATGGCGTATTGTTGGCTTTAATGTAGAAATGTAGAGTTATTCTATGTAGAATACTTAATGTAGAGTTATTCTAAAACTGTGCATGCATTTCTTTCATACTTTAGACTTTATACAGTGAAATTCATTTATAAATATATAGATTTTTTATATATAAGTCCAAAGGTAAAAAAAGAAGCAGGAACAAACTATAGGCTATACATATATATATTGGATATTATTAATAGTGTAAATTGCAGCAGCAGCTCCAAGGCATTGTTGTCTATCTGTACTTCCGGGTTTCTTCCCACCGGAGCTTCGCTTTCCATTTCAAAATGGCGTCTGCGTGATTTAAGGGAATAACATGCTAAAATAATTTCGAGAGTTGTCATGACTGAACTAGATTCATCTCAAGGACACATTACACATATTTTTTTAAAAATTTTAATAAATGATAAGAATAAAAAATGTTACTTGACCACCAAATCAGAATTTTACAATGATTAGAGTAATTATGCTGAAAGTTGCCATGGTAAATCAGACTTATGTTCAATGGTATAATGAATGCAAGGAAATCTACCATTTATTTGCATTTGCTTAACTATCAAGAAAAAAGTGCACAAAAGTGATTTTTTTTTTTTATTATTATTATTATTTTTTTTTCATTTTTACATAGTTTTAACCTAAACATATTTAGCAGAGTTTGTGGTCTCAGACATTTGAAACTTTGACTCATGTCAAGGTAAAAGGTACAAAAATCATAAATTTCTGTTTTCTTTAAGAACTCTTCCCCTCCCAGTCTGTCCCAGTCAGTCAGCCATATCTCAGTTTGATGGATGCAGTCACTCACCATGCTCCTCGCACCTCCGCCATTGGACATAATGGAGTTATACTGATAATGTGAGAGATATGATAAATTCGTTAATATTTTACATTACCAAAAGAACACTGTTACTTAACATGACATATGATATTTACTTTGTATTTTTACATTTTTGAACTGTTTTTGAATTTACATTTTTGAATAAAGAAAAAAGTCACAGGTGTCTAGCAAAAGCCATTCACTTTTAGATAGGCCTATATTGTTATGGTAAATAGTAAATGGTAAATGGACTACATTTATATAGCGCTTTCACGGACCTAATGGCCACCAAAGCACTTTAGATTTTGCCTCACATTCACCCATTCATACACTGACGGGCCGTTGCCAACAGTTGCCAACTCTCGCGAGACAAATAAGCAACTGGAGCTTCAAAAACAAGCCCAAAAGAAGCCCAATATATTTATTACAGCAAAAAAGCGGAAAATCCTCGGACCTCATCTCCGGAGAGATGGAAAAGGACAAAAAGACAAGCAGGAAAAGACAAGAGGATTAAGGGGAGCTGTAACATATATTTAGCTTAAAAATTTGAACCATATGTATATTCTGTTTTTTTATTCAAGCATGTGATAATGTATCTATTACAAAAAGCATTGTAAAAATTACAAATTTACCTTCTTCTTCTTCTATTCTTTCTTTATTCTTTTCATGAAAATGCATTATTTATACCAATCACATACAATTCATTGGAAATTTCCTTTACATTTCCATGATCAGAAAGGAGCAAATGGAAGAATAATATTCTTATATTTATCTGCCCCCTATACAGACATCAATAGTAGATGGCATTAACATTGTTCCCTCCACCATCACCTAAAATTTATTAACATAAATAATAGATGACATTAGCATCACCCAAAATATATTAACATACACAATATATGTCTTTAGCACTGTTCCCTCCACCATCACCCATTCTCCAACATACTTCTTACAAAAGAAGGTCATCCCTATCCTCCCCTGCACTGTCCATCATCTCCCCAGCGTTCTCCTCTCCACTTCAGTACATCCCAACACTGAAGCACTGCAACATTTCTTGACTTGGAGCCATTGTAGAAATTGAAATCTATGATATCATATTTTAGATTACAGCGTCGTGGGACTCGCGCATGCCTGCACGTGATATTTTTGTCTAATGAGGGGGACAAGGGGGCGGATTCGGTGGGATGTTAAATGATTGCACTGATTAGTTGTGAGCAGAAAGTGTGTATCAATGTACCGGAGATTGAGAAAACGGCAACCGTAACCATAGATGTAAAGAAAATAAAGTTGCTTGTCAGATTTGCCTATCAAGCAAGCATATTTTTATTAATAAGCCCAAAAAATCCCGTAACTCATGCTCTTTTGATGCAACTCACTAAAAAAACAAGCCCAAAGTCGCGTATTATAAGTAGACTTGGCAACAATGCTGACAGCGGTGTCAGCTATACAAGGTGCCATCCAGATCTTCAGGAACAGCTTGGGTTAGGTGTCTTGCTCATGGACACCTTGACACTTGGTCAGGTGGAAGTGGGAATTGAACCACCAACCTTTTGGTTTGTAGACAACCTACATAACCACTGAGCCACTGCCACCCCGTGGTCTTCTTACGCCCAACTGATGGTTAGGTTTAGGTTTCCTGCTTTTTTCTTTCTGAAATTCATGTTTTTGCACAAACCACAACACTCATTTCTGAGTCATTTACAGTGCCTTTTTAGTCACATTTGAAGTGAAAAAACTAAGAAACCTAACCAGTCTCAACTTGCCTTTTATTTGAGATCTTTTGGATGCTTTATCAAATATTTTTTTTCTTTCCCACTCCCACACTCTGTTACTGTAAATAACTATAGGATAAAAGTTTAAGGTGGGCCAATGTGTGGCATCTGGGAGCTGCGGTAACCTTAAGTTCCAGAAGACGGCAGACGCTATTACTCCTGGTCGGACTACATTTCCCGATGTCCTCTCTGGTCATTATAAGTTAACCTATTTCAGTTGTGTGTTTTTTTCTTAGTTCATTATCCTGTCTATTTAAATGCCTTTTGCCCTGTATTCATTACGAAGTGTTTGTTTTGGTTTACATTCTCCGTTGGCATTTCGAGCAGTGGAATTACGAACAACATTTTTTTCTGAATGATAAAAAATGTCACATACAAGGAATAAAATATTTGAACTAATCTCATTTCATAATGTAACCATATAAATCCATTTAAAGGTGCCATATGGAATAATTGAGGTAAAAATATCCAAAAAATGAGCTACACACATCAAAAGAATGAGAAGAAATAAGTGCAATGATGTCATTAAAAAACTGACAAGTTATAGTGCTGCCGAGATATAACCTAAATTAGCATGCTAAATTATTAGCCCCGGCCCGGCAGGTGTCGTAATACCAGTTTCGGCCATGGGAGGCGGTATGCGGGCAGGCAACCTTACCACCAGCCAAACTGCAGTAACCACGAGTAAGTCGCGCCAGCTTGTGTGTACTTGAACCTGATGTCATGTCGTGATGTCGTGTGGAAATACAGCCCACTACTAAATTTCAGTTCAGGGATGAGTTAAATAAATGATTGGTCGATATTATGCATGAGGAATACATTTTGGTAAGTTGTAACATATCTTTCAACAGTGTTCGTGTTCTTTGACTTTTACCATTAGCTAGTAGAGATGATCGGTTCACGTGCGCTAGGGATCTGTCGTCTAACATTTACAAGCGCCAAAACTGCATTTATTGTTTGAATTGCGTAATAAAATGAACAGAATCTGAGAGCTGAGATCGGTCTCTGTGTCCTTTTCTGTGCATGACAAAATGGATGTGGCGTGAGAGTGTGTGAAAAGTTGTGTGTCTCACGGTGAATTTGTGAGAGTTGGCAGCTCTGAAAGACGCTAGCTTGGTCCACATCAGGGAATGCTGTCTGTCAAATTAATTCAAACTAATGATAAAAAAATGTAACATGAGCAAAACGAATACCATAAACTAAAAATGCCTGGGCTTTAATTTTCCCATATCGTCGAAATGCACCAGCTTGTCTATGAGACGGCCTTAATAATTTAGTATTGAGATGTTGTTCATTTAGTCTCTAATCTCTGAAAATCTCCAAATGATCCACGTGAAACTGCAGTCTTCCAACCTTTTACTATTAGTTTTACTGACTAATATGCGCGTGGGAGACCCGCTCGCCCGTGTTGTTTGAAGACATGAGTGTGCGCGGCCGCGGAGGTATTTTTCTGGAGGTATACTACCCCCATCTGGTATGGAATTCGATTTTTTTTTTATCCCAGAGGGCACCTAACAGCTTGTGTAGTGTAGTCAACTTTTCCATGCATGCCAACAGAATGATCTAGGCTTAATTCTTGGCAGTCAACACATTGACTTGATTTGACACTCACCCCTGAAGAGATTCTCAGCATACTACTATCAGCCCTCCTGTATCCATCAGTTGTAACCAGGGACTCAGGCTGCAAAAACAGTAATATGCAGGTTGTTAGTAGCTTACAGTATGAGATTTAAAGGACCATGTCACAGCACTTTCTTATAGGTCCTGCTGTTACTTTTACAGTTAAAATAAAAGATATGTAGTAAGTCACCACTAAACTGTGAGGAAAAACCTGCTATTGGTGCCAGTCAATAGCAATAAGAAGGTGCTTAGTGCCATATAACTGCACATGAAATCATTTGAATATTATGATATTTTGGCATAACAGGTCCTAACTTGTAAATTAAGCTTGACAGCCCTGCAAGTGTATTTCACTAACATGCAGTTGAGCAAACAACCTTCTTTCAAGTGCTAGTCTTACAGAGTGCATGTAGCGACATGAAGCTCTTCTCAGTGATATAACATAATCCTATTCCTATGGCTTCCCCTCTATTCCTATGGCTTCCCCTCATATTACCCCTGTAAAGGAATAATTATGAAATCAAAGCTAGAAAAAATAAATGAAATTATATTTTACATACATTTAAGGCTAAAATCAATGTCCAAATTAGTTTTTAAAATCAAAGCTTTGTTTTTAGGGTTTTGTCATTTATTACTGACCAATTAGGGTAAATTATTTTTTAATTTTCTGAAACTTCACACACATTCAAATGCTTCTTTTGAAATCTAAAAGAGGTCTTATTATCAAAAAAGAAAAAAAAAGAATAAGAATAATTGGGGGGGGGGGGGGGGTCATTCATGTACCGGTGCAGATGCAATTTTCATGCTTTCCATCAGACCAAAATTGGAAGTGTACTCGGGCTGAGGAGAAAAAAAAATTACAGGCAAAATTATTCATCACAGTAAGACCACAGATGTTGCTCCTCATAAAACTGCACCAAATATTCTCAGATAAACAAGTTCAGACTTAAATGCAAATATAACTGCCGATACTTTGGAATGTACCCAAACACAGAACTTGCTTTCATCAAATGCAACATGTTCCTGGAACAACAACTTTGCTGATCCTGGAACAACATTCCAAACAACCAATCAGATTTGAGTGACAGTTTATGTTTACAGTTTACAGTTTATGTCAAGTTTAGGCTTACAACATTAGATGCTTCTACATCAGTGTTATTCACTGATTTTAGGGATAGTGTGGGTAGGGATGATTTAGTATTACATTTCCTGCAAGAATGTGTTGACCCAGGAACACATCTAACTCAGAAATCAGGACATGTGTCCTCAAACTCGCTGTGATTACATACAAATAGCCTGTTTATTTGTAGTTGGAGAGTGCATTAATATAATGAGCTTGCATATTAATCTTAATACAAATAATTATTAATAATAATAAAAAATACCTATTAGATTTGTTCTAAAATAATTATCTTAAATACTCTTTTAAAATAGTTATCATATAAGCTTTGAATCCGAAACACATTCACAAATCAGTCTAATTCAAAAATACCACAAGTTATAGTTTTCAAAATGTTTAAAAACAAGTAATTAAGATTAAATTTAATTCAAACTGCTGAATATGAGTGTATGTAATACATATCATCTATATCTATATACATATGTTATATCTATATACATATGTTAATGCACTTAATATACAGTATGTATATAGCACAAGCCACATAAAAAAGGCTTGTAGTACAAGCCACATAAATAAGGGACAACAAATTCTAAATTATACTTCTTATTAAGACATATAAGTCAGGAACACAGCTAATAGTTTTTACTTGCTTCTACTAAATTCATAACTTTGAACTCTGAACATGACCAGTTTCACATACTTTATAGACTGAGCCTCCTCCCTCGTCGTTGTATTTGACAAGGGTTTGGCTGCCCTCGCTATGCAGGTTCAGAGGTATGTGTTGAAAGCTCTTGGTTTGGCAGTCACAGAATAAAGAAAAGAGTATAAGAACTGCAAAACAACAAACAAACAAGTTGTGTCATTGTATTATATATTGCATTAATCTGCATACATTGAAAATAATTCCGATTTAAAAGTAAGTGATATTATATGAACTGCACATTGTTTAAATGATCAAGTGGACTATGGGTATGTTTACAAGAAAACAATATACTAAAAATAGTAAGGTAACACAGACAGCAACATTTTCAAAACAATCCCCATTCACAAGGATCTGTGAAAACGATTTAAAACGCTGTATTATTCATGCCAGGCCAGTAGATGGTTATGTGACTTTGTAAAGAAACGTTCACGCCTATAGACTAAACACGCAATGTGCATAACGTCACCATTTTCATGAATTCACATTTTTGCTTGTTTACATGGAGATGATAATATTATCATTTTCAAAAACGTACACTTTGAAACCTGTTTTTAAAAGCTTGTGTTTTCATGTTGTCGTATAAATGAACAGCCAAAATGCATAAAAAGTATTTAATTGAAAATGGTGTTGTGTAAACGTTATAACTGTTATGCCTATAACTGTTGTAGTTGGCTGTGTTTGATTTGTTATTTAGTCTGAAAACTCACGGGACAAAAGGAGAAGTCCGGCAAACAGGAGACCGATGGCTGCTGGACCCAGCCTCGAGGAGAAAGGAAGAGCCCCACGACACACGGTTCCTCCATTACATTCACACACAACCACTTGCAGAACCTCTTCTGACTGCAGTGCTTGCTGGTCCTGCATCTTCAAAGGAATCGAGTAGTTTCCATATGGTAGAGACGTCAAACTTATCAGAGAGGTGTTTGCTCCTATAAGAAATAAACCCAGCAGAACTTTAATGATAGTGTGAAACAGGGCAGAGGTGGAAAGAGTACTGAAAATTTGTACTCGAGTACAAGTACAAGTAGTTGCTAAAATAATACTCGATTACAAGCAAAAGTACTGGTGTTAAAAATGTACTTAAGTAAAAGTACAAAGTACCCCTCTCAAAAACTACTCAAGTACTAATTACTAATTACTTTTAGCCTGTGATATTTATTTACTTTTATGGAAACCAAGTTATAAAAATGGTCTAAAATGATTATTATTATTAATGAATTATAATGCAAAATAAATAAGCTTATTGGGTTATTTTATTCATAAACTTCTTTTTTTTTTTTTTACAATAAAGATTTCCAAAAGTACCCTACGAATATTTCAAAAGTTTCAAAAGTTATCAGCATTTAGCACTGACACAAATGTGCCATCTAGACAGACAGACAATCAGTGCAGTTGCACTGTTATGCCAGTGGGTCATGGCCGGCAAGATACTGTTTTTATGAAAGAGTCATTATTAAACTCTTCATTCTAAGCTTAAAACACAGATTAAATATTAATAAAACAATGTGTTGACAATGACATACAATATAACTTTTTAATCTAACTTTACAATGCTAAATCTTTATTACGGTATATGTGCTTGTCACCTGAGTAACGCTGAAGCACATGTTTCAAGTGATGTTTTTAGTCAAATTATCGTGAGGTCTACCCAACTTTAAAAACAAAAACAACTGAACTATCACATATCACTGCAGAAACAAAGTTTCTATAAAACGTCTCCTTTCCTTCCTCTGTATAACAACAACTCCTCCATGTGGGGTCATGGGCTCTCGTCATCTGGTATTTCTTCGGAATTTTCAATGAATTCAGTGTCTCGAATGTCCATGTCCATTACGGCAAAGTTCTTTGATAACACTAAAATACAAACTGAAGGACGTGTGAGGACGAATATAGCTCTCCAGGAACCGAGCTTTTTTTTCCCGCTCCAAATACAAGGGTTTTTATTGGCCCGCCCACGATCAGTTATTTCCATTGGATACCCAAATGCTGGTCAAAGATTTGAATAATTGTTGAATTCAAATTGTACAAGTACTTTGTAATTAATGGGATTTTTAAAGTAGTGAAGTACATTAATTAACTTAATTTGTACTCAAGTACAAGAAAAATTACAGACTAAAAAATGTACTCATAAAAGTACAAGTACACGAAAAAACTACTTAATTACAGTAATCTGAGTAGTTGTAATTCGTTACTTCCACCTCTAAAACAGGGTAATTACAGTGTAGAAAAAGTTTAATGTTGTTTATATGTATATTTGCTGTTTTTAGTTAGCCTGGTTAAAACCAGACCATTCTCATTTGTAACTGAGTTCTGGTCTTGCAAAGCTTCATAATTTCCAAAGGGCTGTCACCAACGGACGTAGCTCAAATGCCTCTGGGCGCAATTGGATAGACCTAAAACCAATCAGAGCGATGAAGGAGATGACTAATGCAGAGCGGCGTTCGTCTCTTATAGAACAACCTAGTTTGAATAAACGAGCATAGACTGATCAGCTACTTGCTCTACATTTATTTAAAATTGACAGCAAGACAACCAGAAGTGAATGTGCTATCCATTAAATAAATCATCAAAAAAGCGGTCATATGTGCATTTGTTCAGAATTTACACTTTCGCCCTTGTGTCCACGAGTGAGCTGTGCCCGTATGGCATGTGCAGAGCTTGAATGAAGGCTGTGAGGTCTGTACAGTGTTTATGAGGGTAGCCGCAGTATCATGGCAAGCAGGGGAGAGCGACAGTAGCGTGACTGATCATGACTTATCTCTGGTTGCATGTTTAAGGGAGCCACAGTTGCTACAGCTCTTGTGCTCTACTGCTTTCCAATTACTAAAGTGTCCGCTAGTGTCGTAGACTTGAGTCTCTGCCTCAGTTGGTTACATGATGTTTTCTCTATTAACTAGTCAACTAAAAGGTCTAGCCAGCTCAAGTAATGCTGATACATAGTGGACAACAGTCTCAACCGGCTTTTGTGTTCTCTGACGAAACTCAAAATGGTGCATCCACCGGCTTCTTCCAGAGCTGAAGTGGGCCTTCAAGGTGGCCGAGGCTCTGATGTACTTATCATCTGATAAGGTGAGGTGGCGAAGATTCGCTGTCCCTCCTGCCAGAGACAATGGCGCAGGAGCACGCACTCCCTCGCCTCCGCTCGCTCCGAGTGTCCCAAAGTAATACAGTCTCATCCCAAAAAGTCATATAACTAACGTCTTGGGACGTCTTTTGACCATACGTCAATATCCGCCTTTTTAGGGCCCCCTTAAACGTCGGTAGATGGCGATCCCGGGCCGTCATACAACTGACGCTTTACCTTTAACGTCAGTTAGGTGACGGGTTAGGTTTAGGGTTAGGTTTAGGTCTGGGGTAGAGTTAGGATCCCATAACCTCATCTACCGACATTTAAGGGGGCCCTAAAAAGGCGAATATTGACGTATGGTCAAAAGACGTCCCAAAACGTCAGTTATATGACGTCTTGGGATGAGACCGGGTTGCCCAAAGCTAGCAAATAATCCTCAAACGTTGTGACCAAGCGATCCCAAGGAACAGCTAGATCGCTGGGAACAGGTAGGAAAAGTGACGAGGGGGTGAGTTCAGACATCCTCGTTCACCAAATGTTGTGTTTGTGTAGGACTCAATAAACTGAACTGACGCAAACCTTATATTTGTTTACCCTTGCCGTAAATCAGTGTTGTCAGCCTTAAAGGCACCGTAATCTGTTACTCGCAGTGCATAACATAACACAGCCAACAGGAAACAATACTGAACATTTTAGACATGACATGCGTGATTGTTAGAGAGCCAACTCCCATGTGTATACAATGTTCTGATGCTGAGATTTGCCTTGTTTATGTTGCTATGCAGTTTCTAGGGTCCTTAAAATAATTGCTTGGCAGGGTGACATTTAAAGACTACATGGCAGTCAGTGGAAAAAGGGCCCACCCCTATGTTTTTTTGTTGTTCTGATCCAGAGATATGAACCATTTGATTTACTATACAGTTGCAAGGGTGCTATAAATGGTTGCATGGACCGCACTAGGCTTGATCACTTGGAATCTGCTATGGAGCTGATTTACTATTTTTTTTTTTTTCGTATGAATCTCTTTTACACACTATTCTATAGGCCTGTATGTATGCTTGTGCTGTTTGAGAAAATATAAAAAATTACACAAACAAAAATGATAACAATACAATTAACTATAACGGTCATCTTAAGGAAGCTACAAATATTAAATGCAGTTAAATGACAAAATAACTCCAAAATCACACACTTAATTGTGTGGGGTGGGGGTAAATTAAGCACTATCTGCTGTTATGTCACAATCAAGTTGCATTGTGGTCTGGCATCTGCCTGAAGTGTACATGAATTGACTCACTCCCACTGTCAAAATCAAGGGGTCGAGGGTCCGCCCCAAACTTCCCTCGCCCACTTGACGAAGTTGAATGCACCTCAAAATGGAGGCAGGGATTTGCTGAGGGAAAGTAATTAGGGAAGTTTGCGAGTATATGTCTAAAAGTCACAAGGACTGTTCTATGACACCACACATGCATGCGGTCAAGCTTCCGCGTTTAGCATATTTAATGCACACTTTTGCAAGGAATTACCCGGAAGTAATTTATTTACTTCTATCTGCTGTCAGACTCTTTGAGACATCATTGGCATAATGCATTGCTATATGGTTCCCTTCTGACTTGACTAAGTAAAAATACAACAAGTTTACTGTATATCAGCCTTTATATCAGCCCCATATTCATAATCACAATTGTAACAGATGTTTACATCTATAAAGTATTAGATAAGGACTCAATATTCAATGACTCAGATTGGCGCTTCAAAATACTCAATTGGGACGTCCCTGAAGTAAAATAAATGCTTGTGACTGACCTGTGGCAGGCTCCAGCTTCCAGAGTTTCCTAAGCGCTTCTCCTCCTCCCAGAGAGAAGGTAAAAGGAGCTGAAAATGGAGGACCATCAATGTCTGCTGGAATCACATTGACACGGTCGACCTTGTTACCGCACATGATCATGTTTTTGGAGGTGAGATAGGGGGCATTATCATTCACGTCACCAATGAAGATCACAACAGTGCATGTCCCTGTAGCTGGAGGCTCTCCTGTGAACAGCATTTAGGGAAAAAAGTTGTGTACAAAGATTAATTTAGTATTTTTATGAACAACAAAATACGTCTTCAGATCAGTTGCTCTCCTGTGTTTACGCTAGGCTAGGGGAATCGCCCCATAGAGGATTATGTTATGGATTTCTGTGAGCTTTATAGCCGGATTCACAAAACATTCTTTAGAATAAAGTTCTTCTTAACTGGCAACTTCTTAACTTCTAACTTAAGAAAAACGAAAGGAACATAAATATTCTTAGGAATCTTCTTTCAAATAAGAACACAATAATAATAATAATAATAATAATAATAATAATAAATATAGCTTAAGCAGTAAATAAAGCAAAACAATTTTATTTATTTTTTCGTAAACTGAAATAAAATAGAAAGTTCAACATAAATGAAAAACTAAACAAAACTAACAACAGTTACAGAAAACCTATCTGAAATAAAATAATTATTAGCAAAAATAAATAATCGTTTTCATAATTAATAAGCTCTCATCCTGTACCAGATAATCATGTTTTTCCATTCCACTGCACTACTTTAATTTTCAATTTGAACACACGCTAGATAGAAATGTATCCCTAAAAACGGGGTACTCAAGTTAAAATAAGTTAAACTTTTAAAAGACATGTTTTTCAAAGCAAAACCGCTTTCCGGTTAAACATGAAACTAAACCGCCAGTAGGTGGTGGCAAGTGGCCATCTTAATAGATGAGTCATTCGTTCAAACGATTTGTTCAAAACGCAGAATGAGTAATTTAGTAACAAAACACCACACTGATTGTTGTTTTCCTCTGGAAATATTTTGGTAGGTGAAATATAACTAAAACAGTCAATAATGTGTCTAAAATGTTAGTAACCTAATATAGGCCTACAGGCTACTTGTTTAGTAAACATTTATGATAATTAAATAGGCTAGCCTACTTTGTGATAATATTCAGCAAAACAGCTCCCTAGGTCGTATTATGTAAATAGCCTAAATCATACGTTAGCTTTTATATATTTTTTTTTTCTACTTAAAAAAATATATTTTTTAATACTTAGGCTATTTAGCAGTTGTCGCATCCCTTGACAGGCCATCTAATTTTCCCTCTTTCTTTTTTGATGTTTAGCCCGTGACAGCTTTTTTGCTTTACCCATTTTTTTTTTTTTTTGGATGACAACTAACTTGTAGGCTCCCTGCTCGCTCAGCGCTCACGGCGCCCCCGGCCGCTCATGATATTAGCCTACCCCCCTATGATTCTATTCTGGAATCTAATGAGGGCGCCGACTCTAGCCCGTTAGTCCTCTGAAACGCAGAAATGATTTAGCGTGGTGCCACACAACAGCAGATACATAATAATACTAAATATATATATATATATATATATATATATATATATATATATATATATATATATATATATATATTTTTTTTTTTTTTTTTTTTTTTTACCATCACTTTGGCACCCAAATATAGCGCATAACCACTGTTTTGCGCCACTGCACATTTGTGCCACACAGTGGCGTAGGCAGAAATTGTATTTTGGGTGGGCAAGTGAAAAAGTGACTGGGCCTATTTTTCCTAGAAAAAAATAAAGACTTAAAGTCCCTGTAAAGGCAATTCTACAAAAAAGTTCTAAAGACATTATAAATGTTACATATGCATTGCTAAAACATATTACAAAGACTGTGAACTGTGAAGTACTGAAATGTGGAGTTAGACCGTTAAACAGTTTTTCACCATTGCAATTTTACGGATTGTTTGGGCGGGGCTAAAACAGGGCTCGATGACGCACTGGAGCCCATTAGCTCCTGGAGACGCCCCTATTTGATGACGCACAGAGTCTGATCTCTCCCCTTACACACAATAACACTCCCAGAGCACATCATTCGCATTCACCGCTCAATCGTGAGTGACTGTCAGTACTATTAGTTACTACAGCTGAGCATACAGTTTGCTACCTAGCTATGCCTTCGACACGGACATGCATAGGCTACCTGGATGCGATCATGTACAAAACAGATCGGTATCTTCATTTAAATTCCCTAAAAACGATCACATCAAGAAGAGAGCCAACCTTGATGAAGTTCTGAGGATCACCGCCAACACCCACCTCTGTAATGATCATTTTACACTGGATAGTTTTATAAACTTTCCTCAGAGACAACTGGGATTCACTGATAATCCACTGTTACTGGTGAACGGGGCCGAAACGACTATCTCCCGCCTCAGTGTTCATCCTCCCGTATCTAAAAGCAGTTTCACCTAATATCACCGTCGACAGCTTTCCCGCGAGTGGGCGTGGTTTCAGCACAGCCAGCGGACACGGCCCCAGCGTTTGAGAACAGAGATAACTGCTCATTTTTTCAAGATTTTAATAGCTTATTTTATGTACTTACCGGCTTTTTTCATCATTCAAATTTGGCTGGGTGGCTAATAACACATTTTTCTGTGGTGTGACAAACTCAGAACACATATTTAATTTTGACTTTATAGGGACTTTAAATAATAATGAAACCTTAAAGATAATAGACAAACAGCAAAAACAGTTACACCTTTATTTTGCAATAGCTATTCGGCAAATCATCATGTTCAACCAACAGAGCTCAATAAAGGCTGGACAAACCAGTACTGTCTATTTTATGCAGGCTAGTCAGCAGTGCAAAGACAGTTCACCCGAAAATAAAATAAGCTAAAATAATAATATCGCAGTTAGATCGGCGTCAGGCTGACCGGGAGAGAGACAGCAAGAAGCGGCCGCCGCTAGGACCAGAGTAGCCTTCTGGAATCTTACTGAGTCTGAAGAACTGGGCTCTGTGGACTCGCTAGATGAAGGCAGTGGTGTGTCTTCTTCCTCAACTCTCGCTTTTTTCAAATAGCACATAAAGAGGGGGGGGGGGGGGGGTTGACTGTCATTTCACTTTTTTCATTTTAAATAGTGTGTAATGTTGCTGTTGGTGCATGAACAGTATCTGCAAAGTTGCAGCGCTGAAAGTTCAATGTAACCAGAGATATCGTCTTTTAAAAACCAGGAAGTGTAAACGTCTACAAAAACGACTAGATTGGGACTACAGCTGGGTTATGGTACGTCACTACACATTTGCATCAACCACTCCCTCCGGAATACGCAAAAAAGGGCATGCGCATATATCTACGTCTTTGCCGAAGAGGAAGAGTTACAGGGGAGAGCTAACTTTAGCCATGCCGTCTAATGTGTGCTATTTTCACCCCGCTGTCCGGTCTTCTGTGTTCGGGCTTCCCATTGACGCTGTACTTTGTCAACAATGGATACAATTTATGTTTGATTATGTTCCTGAAAATGACGATCGTAATCTAGCTCTCTGTGCTGCGCATTTTACGGAAGATAGCTTCCAGAATCTCCACGAATTCAACACCGCATTCAACAAGAAACTGTTACTAAAACATGAAGCAGTTCCAACTTTAAAACCAGAGGCAGCAGTGTTGGGCCACAACCTGTAAGTAGGCTAAGACTTAATCATTTTAAATGTATTTGCATGTATAATTCAAGACGTAGCGTTGTGTTTTATTTTTTTTCAAATGTCAGCGCTGGCTTTATAGCCTCTATAGGCTACTAGTTATGCTATTTTGTGTCCACGACAAACGCGTACAAACATTATGGACCTGAATTTTGTATAAGTAGCCTACTAATGTTTTAAACGTGTTTTTCATGTATATATGCTTTATGACGTTATTTTCGATTTGATCAAGAACGTAAACTAATGCCACGCTGTTTGAGTATAACGTTAGTAGCCAGTCAGTTGCTATTGTTGCCAATCAGATGCTATTGTGTAAAACAAACGTGTATAAAGTTAAAAAAATGTAGCAAATTATCATTCATAAACGTTTAGTAAGAGCATTGTGTGGTGAGGTTCTGCTTGACTCTCTTTATCGCCGCTTTCTCGGTCTGATTCTGCCTCAAACTGATACTGCAGTATCGACCATAGTATCGTCACCTTTATTTACATGGTTGGACCTTTGTCATGCACGTTTCGCCCATAAAGGTAATGGGCGTTAACCTTCCGGACAACGTGAGCGACAGTTTAGCCAATCACAACACACCGGCCCAAACTAACCAATCTGGGCCCACTACGTGTTTCTGAGGGAGTGTTTTCATAGAATCAGTCAACCACTCGTTCGAGGGACAGAGGAGAGCGGGGCTGACAATAAAGGTGAAATTTATGAAAAATAAGACTTTTAAAAAGAAAAACCACGAATACATGGTATATTGCACCCCATAAACACAATCATGCAAAGAAAAAAAGCAGTCAACCCCCCCTTTAAAGAAAGTTGTTTAGCCATTATTATGGCGCCGACGCCGCTCAGAGAGTTTCCCTTTCGGAATCCCCAGCAACCATAGCAACCAATAACGTTCCAGAGAACTTGCTTCAACAGCCAGGAAACACATTAAACACACACACCAGTCAACAATAAATCTGGTTTATCTTAATACATTTTCTTAAATACATTTGAATAATAAAAACAAACTACATTTTTTTATCAAACTTGCCCGTGCCGCCCTGGCCCAATACTGGCTACGCCCCTGGTTTGAATTGTTTGGTCATACTGAAAACAGATCTCGGCGCTTACCGTCATCTATAGCCTGGACTACAACAGTGTAGGTGCCATTTTTGATGAATGGAGATTCCCGGTCCATCTTCTGAACTGTGGTGATCTTTCCTGTCTTCGGGTCAACACTCACCCATTTGGCTGGGTCTTGTACTAACTCATACCTAAACATATATACACAGATATTATGATACTTTTACTTAATGTGATCATCCAAGAATTTAGTTTGCCATATATAATACAATTTTATAATATACTGTACATATTATGTCATATGCAGTGAATTAAACATTTTGGTGTCAGTAAGTTTTATTTAAAGAAATTAATACTTTTATTCATCAAGGTTGCAAAAATGTATCAAAAGTGACAGTACACACTTTTACATTGTCACAAAATAATTATTTTTTAGAATCAATCAGTTTCCACAAAAAATATGAAGCAGCTCAGCTGTTTTCATCAACTGATAATCAAAAATGTTTCTTGAGCATCAAATCATCATATTAGAGTGATATTAAAATTCAGCTTTGATCACAGGAATAAATGACATTTTACAATGTATTACAATAGAAAACAATTTAAATTTTAATATTTTTGTAGAGTTTTAGAGTGGTTTTGATGAGATGAATGCAGCCTTGATGAGCATAAGAGACTCAACTTTTTAAATCACAAAAACACTAAAAATCTTGCGAACCACAAACATTTGCAAAATTATATTATAGTATGATAAAAGTGTAATGAAAGCAGGATAAAAAAAATTTAAATCCACAAAAAAAAAAAATAATTAATGATGTGTAATTTGATGTTGCGCAACTCAATCACACCTGATTTTGCTTAAGTCTGAGTCTTCATCTTTGACTTCAGGAACAAACAACACATCTCCTGGATCTCCATTTTCATTTCGGTAAATTATTTCAGTAGTCTTCTTAAATTGAGGGGGATCATTCGCGTCAATGACTTTCACTGCCACTTTGACAGAGTTTGGCTTTGGTGTGGATCCTGTTACGGGCTTTCCATTGACACACTGAAATAATTTCTCCTCGTTCTCAACAGCTATTTCCAACTCTGTAATCTGAGTTTTCTCAAAATTCTTCCCCTGTGAAATACAATTACATTGAGAGGACACATCGGCTGTCTTTTTTTTTCTATTCAATGATTGAATTCTGTTCGCATCATTGATCATACTCGTTTAACAATACATAAAGGTGTATTGAGGTGACGACTTGACGTCTCTTTGAATAAACATCTCTTTGAATAAACTTAAACTTTTCTTAGAAGTTAATGAAATGTTAAAGTGAACAGTCGCATTTACCTTGATAACAGACAGCACACCTTCATTGGTTTTGGGGTCTGTCTCGATCTTATAATTCCCATCTTCGTTGCCCTTCAGGATGGAGAACACCGCTCTTGATGCAGCCGTGTTCGGTGTGTCCTTGTCTGTGACGCCAATTCTTAGGATCTCCTTGTTTGATTCCATTTCCTTCACTTGAGTGTTGTACTGTTTCACACAGAAACATTCATGTATATCATATCACACAAGCTTTGAGACATAATTACTCAATAAAGCCATCTATTTAGGGGAAAAATGGGTCATTTCTGCACCACAAGCAACATTAACTGGAACTGAAAAAAAAATCGATTTGCCCGTACAAAAACACCATGAGTGTGATGCGGTTGCTGAGGAATTGTGATTGGTTTTGAGTTGCTATGCTGCCTTGCCTTAACAAGCAACAAGTTGTTTACAAACAGGTTTCCTATACATACTGCCCTTCTGTCATTGGTCAACCAAACATCTGTTTCAATTTAGTTTGCGCGAACTCTTGGTATTAGGCATGTAAGACTTCAAAAATTTGAAAATGGCAGGCAGTCTGGTTGAAGAACAACCACTTCCTGAGAAGACAAGACCTATCTGGAAATTAATATTTGGTCTCTCTCGTGAAATTAGCATCACCATTCGACACGCAAGTCTCACCTATACAATCCGAATCTACATCTCTTTCCCTTAACGCCCCATTCCTTCTCTCTCTCATGTTGAGATCACCTGAAATTCACCCAAAAATCTATATGGTTTTATGTGAACAATTATCATACAACACTATTATATCTGGGATCATTTGAAATGTCTCAGTGCAACTGGCACAAATGTCTCATTCTCCACAGAAGTAAACCAACAGGTAATAAAGTTTTTAAGAGTTGTCACAACCCGGCTCAGAGTTACTGACAAGGAAGCACGACGCGAAAACTTAAGTCAAGTCAAGTCACATTTATTTATATAGCGCTTTTCACAATAGAGATTGTATCAAAGCAGCTTCACAGTGATAACATGAAAGTAGTACAACACAGATCAATAATACTGTTAAATATTAAATAACCAAAAGATCAAATTAAAAGATAATTAATTTATTTACCAAACAAAACTATAATAAACAAAAATTTCTGATAACTTGGGGGTGTGTCTTGCTGGCAAATGTCATTCTGCTCTCAAAAGGTGAAAACTCTAAATGGAAATTCCCATTGTTAGCAAATGTTTCCACGTGAACAAAGTTTCTGTCTCAGAGATGTCTATGTATTTGACTATGACATGACTATGACTATGTATTTAAAGAATCTTTAATGAGATCAGCCCGTACTGCTGAGTGCCTTTCAGACACTGTCAGCTAAACATTAAGTCAGCTACACTGCTTACTTGCATATATTGTAGTTATTCAGAAGTAGTTAGTTGTCAGTAATTAGTCATATATGTAGTTAATTTTTTCATATTTATTGTAAGTCATTATGTCAGTATCAGTATTTGTTTTCTACCATGCACAAATAAAAATGTTATTGAACTTTTGCTGTGTAATTGAAACAATGAGCACTCAAACACATCAAACCAAGAATTACTAAAAACACACACAAAAACTGATTTTGCACAAACAGACACACATATATCTATGTCTGTCTGTGCGTTGGTTATTTGCATATCTCTGTAAAAAAAGCACACATTGAAGATGATGTTTAGAAGGTTGTGGTTTAAAAATAAACATTCAGACATTAGAGGGATGTGGTTTAACCCTCTGGGGTCCAAGGTGTATTTGGGGTCCTTGAGATGTTCTGACATGCCCTGACATTTGTGCTTTTTTTTCAGTTGTTTATAAACATATTAATGGCACAGGTAAAATTACACTATATTTAGCATTTTTGACTAAAAACCAGTGGCGGTTCTACTCTGAATTACACCCAGGGCGAGACCCCCTTCGAGCGCCCCCCAATCCCCCCCCCCCGCAAAAAAAAACAAAACAAAAACAAAATAAAACAACAACCCAACAATAAAATCACATACGGTTCATTTGAAAAACAGTTAATAGAATCCAGTTATTTTGCTAGTTTAATCTAACTTTAAAGAGAGGAAGTAACCATTAGCCCATTGGTTATTGCCTTAAATTATATGCATGGCACACTTTTAGTTATGGCTTGTTAAACAATATTTGTCACAAAATGAAGTTTTTAAAAGTAAAAGGGTCTGAGAGATACTTATTTAGTAACACAATACTTATCTCTTATTTCTTAAAGGAACACTCCGACTTTTTGGGACTTTAGCCTATTCACCTTACCCCCCAGAGTTAGATAAGTCCATACATACCTTTTTCATCTCCGTGCGTGCTATAAGTCTGTTTGACGCACCCACCGCTAGCCTAGCTTAGCACAAAGACTCGATGTGACTGGTTGCAGCTTTCATACTGATCCAAATGAGTGGCAAAATAACGCAAACGTTTTCCTATTTACATGTTGTTGTTTGTATAGTCACATAATGTACAAATAACAAAGTCAAATGAGACACAGACATCTTTTAACCGTATAAAACCTGGGAACTATTCTCTGAAGGCGAAGCACTGCTACTTTGACGGCGTAATAACCGCATCACCGGAGACACGCCGTGGTGAGGAGCGGATGGTTCGCTCGGTGTTTGGGTAACAGAGTCAGCAATTTATAAATAGTAAAAGCGTAGTTTAGAGTCATGGGTTTTCGCTCTATTGTAAGTAGCTGCGACTGTAAACAGGGGAGGTAACCATGTTTCACAGAATTCCAACTAAAAACGCTGACTGGATGAAGAAATGGCTAACTTACTCTGGATATTTATCCAAACACACCTAAGATTATCAAGGGACATTACGTTTGCTCGGTACATTTCAATGAGGACGACTATTTTGAAAAAATGGAATTTGCCACACGGACCATAATGTGCTGAAGGATACGGCCATCCCATCGATAGCACAGACAGGACAAGTGGATCACCTGCGGCTGAGGTAAGTGTTCCGTTATGTTTTTAGATGACCTACTGTAACAGTGCCATTATTAGCCAGATCTAATGTAACGTTAGTGACACTATTATATGATTAGGGTATGAATATGTTTTTATCTTGATGTGGTGCGGACGCGCTTGGGAAAAAAAACGAGCGCGTTTTACCGCGTTGAACTTGCACCCTGCGCGCGGCGCCGCCTAGTAGCCTAAATTTGAAATAACCATGGAAATAACGAACTTGAGCGTGCAAAAGGTACGATAGGCTGTGAGTTCATTGTGCAAAAAACAATTTGTGCTATTACTTTCCCCTTATTCGATCCTATAGTAATGCAATACTGCTATTATTATATAGGCAAATGTATTTACTGTTGAATACATTTGCGTTCAGCTAATAAATTGCATTTAAAATATATTGATCCTGTAATAATAATTATTTATTCATGTGATATTTATAAATCTGGGTGCGTTTTTGGTTGGAAATCAATAAAACATGGTACTGGTTTACCTGGTCTCCCCTGTTTATTGTCACAGCTCATACAATAAAGCAAACACCCATGATAAACTATGCTTTTCTATCTAACGTTAGTAATTGCTGACTCTTTATTCCAACGCTGAGCGAAGCGAACTTCTGCTCCTCGTCACGGTTGCGTCTCAGGTGATTGTTATCACTCTGCCCAAGTAGCAGTGCTTCCCCTTCAGAAAATATAGTATTTATACGGTCAAAAGATGTCTGTGTCTCATATGGCCATGATATTTGCACACTCTGTGACTATACAAACCACACAACATGTTAATAGGAAAACGTTTGCGTTATTTTGTCACTCATTTGGATTAGTATGAAAGCTGCAACCATTCACATCCAGTCTTTGTGCTAAGCTAGGCTAGCGGTGGGTGCGTCAAACAGACTTATAGCACGCACGGAGATGGAAAAAGG